TGTGACCGTCATAAATATGAATCAGTTGCCAAGCATTTGAATGTAAATCACAAGACCCTGGAGATGCTGCAACATTCCAGCTGATCAGCACTTCTTCTGGGCTCAGCAGAAGCGCCAGAATCAGTGCTAAGCTCCAGCTGGAGCCTGGCGCTGATCCTGGTGCTTCCACTGAGCCCTGACAGCCCTGCAGCTCCAGCCATCTCTTGCTCAGGCTTGTGCGGTGCTGCCACAGGTTCAGCTCATTCCCCTCCCCTGCTACCATTTTTCTAGGATAGTCGCGTACCACCTGCCAGGTGCCAATGTACCACAGGTGGTACCCGTACCACTGGTTGAAAAGCCCTGTTCTAGAAGAATTATTCTGGGAATCATCATCATTTAATATGAGAGCCACATCTGCAGCAAAAGGAGGTTGACTAAATAGCAGCAGGATGGGTCAAATATAATAGCGCCTGTAGTATGTCCTGAGAATTCAACATAAAATACACGCTTTGAGATCAAATTGAACAGGAACCCTACAGAGTAAAGTGAATAGAGCATGCCAAATCATCCATTTAGTCTCTTGACTTAATCTGGTAAAGTTTCAGCAAGTATGTATCAATTCCAGTTCCTCCACCTAGTCTTCAGTACAGTGAAAGAAGGGATGGATTTTTACTGAGAGATAAAAGAGCAGTTCATAACAAGCTGATAAATATTTACAGATTAGTTGTGCTTAATGGTTTTGATTCAGGGACATTTTCTCTAAAGTATGCATGAATTGCTATACAAAGGACTGCAGGCACAAAAGCCTGTTAAGCTTTCATCCATTTTAATGATAGCATACATTATGGTTTCTCAGCCTTAGAGCTATATGGACACCACCAGGATGACAAACCAGGTGGAGTAGAAGAGGGACTGATCTGCAAACAGAAACAGAAGAGATAGATACAAAGGCACATGGAAAATGGTGGCCCAACAAATTTCAGCGTTTTTGTCAGAAGCACTAGCAAAATATATGATTACAAATAGTAAACTAAATATTGAGCTTGTCCAACAATTATAATAGATTTTCTGAACAGGTACAGAAATATGGCTCAAATGTAAGTTGCTTTGTTTTATGTTTAGGGGCCAAAGTACAGAATTATGGAGACAAGGACAATTTAAACCATTACCAGCTTTGGCCTTACAGGTAGTCCTCAGTTATGACTACAATTGGAACAGGAACATCGTTCACTAAGTAAGGTGATCTTTATGTGAGCCACCTTTTTGCTGCAGTCTTAAGTGAATCAAGTGTCGTTAAGTGAATCCAGCTTCACCCCTTGATTTTGTTTATTGAAAGCTGACCGGGAAGGTTGCAAATAATGATCACGTGACCCTAAGACCCTGCAAATGCAACTGTCATAAATACATGCCAGTTGCCTAGCATCTGTATTTTGGTCATGTGATCATGAGGATGCTGCAACAGTAGTAAGTGTGAGGACCAATCATAAGTCACTTTTTTCAGTACCATTATAACTTCAAACTATTGCTAAACAAATGGTCATAAGTCGAGGACTAACTGTACTGGAATGCTTGGTTATTAATAAAAGCAAAGAAATCTTTGTGTCAGATACAAGCCACCAAGACATGATAGAAGCAAGGATAAAAAGCAGACTCTGTGAAAATGCTAGAAATGTAAATGAAAATGTATTTCTACTTGTCAAAGTGTTTTATATCATCTTAAATGTTAATTGCTCAATAGAGAGCTGTGACAGAGATGCTTGATTTGAAACATTATGAATTCAAGATAATATAGCAATCTTTGAGCTTGCCTTGGCTTAAAGGAAGGCTTTCATTTTGCTTCCATTTTATTGACCTTCATACCATTTTTATAAAAAGGGATAGGTTATTTTTAAAAATCAAAGCCAGGGCTGTGTGGCTTATCCAAAATTTCACCATAATTCTTAAAACTGCCCTCAACAACTATGTCATTCAAAGTCCTTGTTTTTATAGCCATGAAGACTATGGTTATGGTGTTATCAGTATTTCCCAGAGACTCAGGTAGCTCTGTGCTTGAAAACTATGCACACATTTCTTTTGATTTGGCCAGTGATGAAGATGATGGAGTTCTTTAATGGCCAGCACTGACAAGTGATCATCACTGTATTGGACCAAGATCCCAATATCAGGACAAGAATGTCCCGTGAAAGGAGTTCCACCACATATTCAGCTCAGGTTTTGCAAGATATATAACAAGGTCTGTAAGTTCTGGGGGAAAATTATTGGAGAAGCAAGGAAGCAGGGCTAATTCAATGGTTCTGCCACTTGCCTTTGTGCTGGCTGATGTGCTTAATTCAGCTCAAGGTCATGTGCAATGTTCCAGAATATGCTGAGAGTAAAACTTCTGATTTGTGGGTAGTTGTCATCCATAAAGAAAATCCTTTATCAATCCCAACTATTGTTACCTCTTGCTGAAGGTACTTCATTGGCCTTTTAGGGAAAGAAAACACGATGGTGGAGGATAGTATTCCTTTTCCTCATTCCCACCACTGTTGCAGCTTGGAACAGCAGGTAAAAGCCATGACCCCAGGCAGAACTATAGGACCGGAGGGATGGAAAAGATGTACCCCATCTTGGCTTATTATGTTCTTTATTTCCTACCATTGGTTCTTGATGTCAGATTTATGTCTGTAACAACTCACTCACTCATTTGATTTGTAAGCTATTGTCAAAAATTTAAAATAATTCTCTTAAAAAAAATACAGCATATCTCCAAATGCAACCACAAATGCAAGGCATGAAACAGCTTCTGTTTTAAAAACACAGCATTTGATACTTTCTTTTATACCATTTGTAGAAACATGAATAATAATCCTCTAGAACAGGAGAGTGGATTTCCACCACCCCTCCCCCTGTCCCGAAGGCTGGTAATCCAACCAGCAAAATGAGTTGAACCCAAATCCCTGCCAGAATGATGACATTTTTGGAAACATCAAAGGGAAATGAATTGCAGCCACTCAAGATATTTTCTCTTATGTCATGCCATTTTTTCACTTCTCATTTGTGAATTTTTATGAGACTCCTCTTGCAAGAACAATTTCATAAGCTACTTTGAGACATGGCACGTTTAGGATATTTTTCAGCACTTTTACTCTACATGTTTACTATTAGATAGGATACTTTTACTGAGGTGTGGTTTCCCATGAAATAAATAGATTAACACATCATCTTAAAGACAGGACCATATAATAGCATCATTCTTTGACCATTGTATTTACTATCCCTAAATTTGGTTGAAGCTTTTTCTAAAAATCAGGTATGAGAAACATAGCCAGGTAATGATAACCACACGACAGCCATATAAGTAGCTACATTTCTCCTTCCTTGCAGCTGTGCTAGATTACAGAGTCAATCTAACAATTTAAATAATATTCTGAATGTTATGAATTTAAGCTTCAGTTATTCATTTCTGCTTCCCCCACCTTATGTGTACTTTTTAATTTCCAGGGAAATTTATTGCATATAGTATATGTATATACTATGTTGATAGGCCCAAAATGACATGACTTTTTGTTTGGTTAGAAAGAATTGCAAACAGAAAGGATTGTTTAATATGCTGCTATAAAGTTGATTATGTGCCATAAAGTAGATTATAGATCATAATGAGTGCTCATGACCTGTGAAATATTAACTCTATTAGTTTTTACCTTTTTGTTTAAAAGTGCAAGTTTTAATTTTGTGTTTCTGAAGGAACAGTGTATGCTGTGTCAAAAATAATCCTTATCTAACTCCCTTTTTAAAAATTGTAAGGGAAAGGTAGAGAAAGATGTTGAGCAACAAAAACAACCCATTGACTAGATATTCAGGTTTCCTTGTAAAATCTGTCTCTCTTCCTTTTTAAAAATATTTAAGGAAGCAAAATCTTCCTCTAGACCAGGGGTGTCAAACTCACAACGTCACATGACGTGTCATGACGTATCGCGACTTTTTTCCCATTGCTGGCAATGGGGTGGGTGCGGTTTCAGCGTGACACATCCGGCCCATGGTCCAGCAGTTTGACACCCCTGCTCTAGACAGTGTGAAATGCCAGGGAGCACCCATCCATTGAAATCTTCTACTGGCTGTGGAGTTGCTGGAAATCTTGCAATAACCATCGTAATCTATAATAGCAGGAAGAAATGCTTCTCAAAGAAACATTTTGGGACTGTTATCATACATCACTTCATATATTATCTCATCAATATACGGTATGGGCCTGATAGGTCTGTTTTATATTCCTTTTGATGGCTGAGTGGTACCTGGTCTATCATTCCTATAATGTCATCTCCATCCCCACCCACCCCCATTTGTAGCCTGCAGTGCTATGCAAGGATGTGGGGAATAAATTCTATTTAATTTCCCTACAGTGTTACATCCTCTGTTTAGCTGTGTTCTAGAGAGGAGGCTGCTGTGCTATTTCCATGAGTATCCTTTCTACTTCATTGCTTTGCTGCTGTTCTTTGGAAATGAAGCATTCTCACCAACAAAGAGCAGGAAGATGCATTACTATAGCTAGCACATAGGCTAGCTGAGTTATATAATAATCATTGCCGTATAAGAAGCTACTAGCTGTGGTCTTTTCTTCCAAAGGGTTAGAATGTCAGATACAGTAAACACTTTTCTTTTAATCTCCTCTCACAACATCTAAATTATTTAGAAGTAATGAAGGCTTAGAGAAAAAAATGTGTTACATAAATCATTTCCTTTTTTAAATATACAGATAAAGTATCCTTCATACTGAACTCAACTCCTGCGGACTTCATAGACATACATCTCTGAGTAGTTGACAGAAATGATCTGACATTGCCTTTTTCTGGGACATTTTTTTTTCAACTTTCCAGATTAACACTAACAAAGCATACCCAGAAGAAAAACTGGCAACTCCCCCTTCTCATATTATAATTATATCTCATGTTGTAGCTTTCTCCCCTCTTCCTCTCTATAGAATAGTTCTTGCAGAAGCCCATAAAGATGATCATGCAAGAATAACAAGACACTTTAAAAAATTCTGAACAAGAAAGTTTTATTAAGTCATATCCTCATAAATATTTACATAGAAAGTTCCCCTTTGTTTTTCCCTAGTAAAACGAGTAGCAGAATTGGAAATTTTTCTATAATATAAAAATAAAGTGCTTCTGTTTCTGTAGAGGCTGATAGCACAACTGTTCCAGTTTATTTACAGGGTTATCAGTGCAATTTCATTGCTCTAACTCAGAAGCCAGTCTAGCTAAATTCAATGGAGTTCTTCCCAAGTGAATTCATACTGGGTTTTGCCCTAGAAAAGGATGTACCAGGGAATGAAAAGAACCACTGAAAATTATGATATTTACTTCTGAACTGATGATATCTCCAGGATTGCACTAGCAATTTTTTCACTTCAGGAAAATAATAAACAAATGCTCCTATCCAGCACCTACAATTTATATGAGCACACATAAATTTTGGGAAGCATGTTTGCTCTTGTCTGTGATATGTCTTTTCCACTACTGGTCCATTTTAAACATTGGATTGGAACAAACATGACTACATTGAAAGATACTGTAAAATAAATAGTGCTGTAAAATAGCATTAGAGCCTGTGTCACAAAATATCTCGCTTAAAAGATTTCAATTATTCGTCTGTTCATCATGTGGTATGTCAGGGAAAAAATGCTAATTAAAATGCCACTTTCTTTCCACAATCTGTACAGTCAACATTCCATTATTCACTATTTATTGTGTAGTTATTACTTGAAAAATACTTGAGCTCTTTCAAATATGCAGGTATTTAAGAACTCATGTCAGTACAGTATATGCCTTTGAAGTGCTTTCAGAAGATACAGTTGATGATTCTGTAGAAGAGACTTGGTATTTTCCTGTAGAATAAAGAAGTAATATGGTAAAAGTCTTGCTTGGTGACTTGTATGTACTGTATAAAGCACAAAAGAGTTCTTAGGCCTAGTTGCCTTTAAACATTAACTGCTTTTTGAGCTTAAGAGGAAACCAAAGAAAACAAGAATAAGCCTGCATAAGATACATAGGTTAAAATATCTAAGGTTTATAGTAAATTCTAAATTCTACATAGTCCTCTTTGATTCTTAGCAGTTGCAATCAACAACTATTTTCAATTTGCTTTCCGGTGTTACTGCCTGCCTTTTGAATGTGATAGTAAGAACCATATCTAGGAAATGCCCAAGGACGATACCCACATGGATTAGCCTGATGGGCCTCATATGGGGACCAATCAAGAGTTAGCTTTGAAGAAGTTACCTAATTGGGTAACAAAACATTTGCAAGCAAACAACCAAGTTCAGAGAGCACCAAGGACTTCTCATATCAAGGAGTCAAACCAGAGAATCATTTTATTATTTTTAGCTATTTTCCAGACATAACTGCAGTCATAAGATACTGAAGTCTCAGAGATCCAGTGTTTAGGATGGATTGTTCATTTAAAATGAACATTTATGTTGAATGTATTTATATAAATAACTCAGAAGGCAAATTGTATGCACACTTCAGAGTTACCAAGCCTAGAGCTTGGACTATTTGGATCTTTAATGATTTAATGAGGTTTTTATGTTTTTAAAGGCAATTCTATAAACGGTGTAAGAATTCTTTAGCAGTATAATAATTAGGAATTTGGCTGGCCTATATAATATATATTTGGGGACAGAGATGATGAAAATAAATGTAGAATAGCAAAAATGGGAAATAGATTGATGCCATATTTTTTCATCACATACCTGCTTTACCAAACCAATTATTTAAAGTTTTTGAAAAAGGTGAATTGATGGAAAGCATAGGAGCCGACATGCCTTGCGATATTGACTGCAAAAGGGAAATATATATTAACAAAAAGATATAGTGAGATTTTACCAAAACATGTGCTTGTACATTTTAATTTTGCCAACAATATACACAATTAGAAATAAATCTCTTTCAAAATAATTGCTTTTACTTTCAAATTAGCATGGATTAATTTGTTTTCTTCATCTTCCAATTGCAGAAATAAAGTGTCAAATTCTATTCATGATTCACTTGTAGAGGTGAAAGGCTATCTTTGAATTTAAATCCTTCATGCACTGCTGTAGCTAAAGCTGTATAGAATGGCCTCTTTATCGACACAATCCTTTTCTCCATGTAGAAGGATGTCTTTGAATCCAACCCTTCATTTAGAAAGAATATTACCTTTGAGTGTTGTGAACTCCACTTGGACCAAGAATATTTATTCAGCATAGCTTCTCGTACCTATGTGTTTCAAAGAAAATGAACGTTAATCATGTTGTACTAGCATGTATTGTATAAATACAATTTTATTACACAATGACACAATAAACATAAAACAGTAAATATCTTAAAACTGTGTTCCTACCTTCCTATCCCAGAGAGTTCCACCCAACAGAATGAATAATCCCTGAAAAATATTCAAAGATTGAAATTACATATTTCAGTTCTTACCCCTGTACATAAAGTATTCCATAGGCTTGATTCCCCACTAGTATCACAGAGGAAATGTATGAAATATGAACAGTATGAAAAAAAATAGCCCATTTCAGTGGGCAGAAATTGCAAACAGTCTAAGACAAAATTTAAAAGAGCTGATAACCAAAAGATTGATCCATACTAAAAACAAAGTTTGGTTGCAAATTTTCAAAAAAAAAAAAAAGGGGGGGGGGTTCTGATCACTCCCTGGTCTGGAATATTCAGAAACAACAAATTATCTGAGGGGAGGTAGCTAGGAATCAGGAAAAGAGAAAGTAATTCCCCACAGTTCTCAAGATCCCATTTTGTTCCCTCACTGATTTGTTTAGTTTTGTCTTAGACTAGCAAAGTATACAACAATTAAAATCCACAGAGATAATTATAATTATTTATTTTGCAAACCAAAATTCTAGAAGCACGCAACTGAACTTTATTTATAGGTCTATTATTTATTTATTTATTTAAATTTATTACTTTTTTATGTCACCCATCTCACTGATACAGCAACCCTGGATGGCATAAAAGTACTATTAGTTTTGTCATTTTCCAAAACTCATGATTCTTCTACAGGATGCAGATATTAATGACATCATTAGATTACATGTTATGGAAAGAGCTACTTGAATCACCCCTCAGTTTAGATTAAGTATGTATTATCCTGAAGTTGAAACTCAAATACTTTGGCCACCTAATGAGAAGGAAGGACTCACTGGAGAAGGGCCTAATGCTGGGAAAGATTGAGGGCAATAGAAGGAGATGACAGAGAATGAGATGGCTGGATGGAGTCACTGAAGCAGTAGGTGTGAACTTAAATGGACTCCAGAAGATGGTAGAGGACAGGAAGACCTGGAGGAACGTTGTCCATGAGGTTGCGATGGGTCGGACACGACTTCGCAATTAACAACAAACAACAACAACAAATAAGGCAGAAAAAATGTCAATGATGTTTTTGACATCTAACTATTCCAAACAGCTGATATTATCAATCCAATTACCTGAAAGGCGTTGAAAATAGTAAATAATATCTGGAATATTTTGGGGCTTCCTGGAACAACTGTGGCCAGTCCAAATCCCCAAGTAAGACCTAGCAGCGGTGTCAGTACACCAATGCTCTTGGCAATTCGATACAAAGCACTCTTTTCTTCATTGACGGACTTTTCCCCAATTGAACGTCTTGATATTTTTGCTATAACTACAACAGTAACAATAGTATTAATAGCAACAATGATCATGGCAGGAATCACCAAGGCCAAGAGGGCTTTGCTTTCCTCCCAGTTGAGAAAGCAGCTCTTTTTCCTTGTGTAAGAGGAATAAGGAAGGGTGCTGGCTATTGTGATGGCTGATATTATTAGAGGACAGATGTATCCCAAGCAGAAACCAATGGTTTTCATAATGGTCTTGCTTGCATTGTGCAGAAGGAAGACCAAGTGGTAGAAGAGCATCAGTCCCAAAGTGAGCATCCAAAAGAAGACACAGAGGTAGAAATAGTGAACGAAATAAGTTGCTGCTATGCAAAGATTTCCATCCACTGCATAATTTTGGTCATGTGTTACAGCAACAACAATGAAGCAGATATCTGCACTCAAGAGAGAAACTGCAATGTTCAGAATACAAACATGGCGCATGTATGCAATTCTTGTTTTAGTGACTGATTTCCACACAAACAGTTCTATTCCAAGGCAAATCATCAGGCTCAGTATAGAAAGGCTCAGGCCAATGTAAGTGATATAAGTCATTTCATCCAGTGAGGTTTCCTGATAGGGAGACATGAGCATGGCAAAGGAAGTTGTGTGATTGCAAGTGCAAATGACACTGTCCCCATCATCCTTCGTTTCACAGCCTGTATTATCCCAGTCTCCTCCTTCTGCCAGACTGAAATTCCAAAAGACACATTGTGGATTGCTCATGACCTTTTCACGCTTCGCAAAAGCCATTTTGATCTGGAAATCCTTGTTTGTTTGGGGATTTATTACTGTCGCCATTACCAAACTATTTACCATTTCCTTTCTATACTGTGGAATGATATATTGAATTGTTGAATAAGCCACACTGACTATTGTGATTGATTTCTCAGTATCAAATTTTGCATCCTCAATAAGCACACTTCCCCTGAGGCCTGCAGACTGGTGAAAAGCAAAGCTGCTGTTATAAATGGAGGTACTGCTTTTACCAAGAACTGTTCCTTTGATCTGAAGACTGTCCTGTATGATTGAAGGAACAGACTGATTAATTGGCTGGAGTGATCCTAAAAATTGCTCTACTGAAGCAAGTAATTGAGAGCTCCCATTCTGTACATGCTTCCAAGTTTCTGCTGGACTGGTGATAATAGTTTCTACAGTAGACCCAAAGTTCTGCAAAAAAAAAAAAAAAAAAAGGTGGGGGGGGGAGAATAATAACTCTTTTTAATTACAGGTTGCATTAGAGAATCCTCTTCCTGTCAGTTTATCTCAATCCACTTACCAACTTCCAACACAAAGAGCCTAGTGTTGAAGTATAAAATTCTTCTCACACTTGAAATGTGTTATTAGGTTCAGATATGATAGTATATTACAACAGTGGGGAATTATATGAAGGATTAGCCATTAAATTCTATTAGCATCAGCTAGGCATCTATGAGTAAGGGTCTCTACATAAGATCCCTAGTGATATTTAATTGTTTCTCCATCAAAACTGGAACTTTGCTCTGATTTTTAGGTTATCACCAAATTTATCATGAATTTAACATGATCCTCCCCAAATTATCATATCATAGTTATTGTAATTTCAAATGACCTACAGTATTTCAAAAAGGAACATTAAATAGAAAATAATTATAAACACAAGAATCCTATACAGTGCCCTCAATTTGTCAGTCCCAATCAGGGAGCTTTGACCCACCCCCCAAAAAATGTTTGTGCATGACCCATTTGTGTATCGCTATGCACATATATATGTGTCCATATGTAACCACCAGAAATAGCACTCCCCAAAAGGGCATGGCCAGAAAAAAAGAGAAAGAAATATTATTAAATCAATTTGAGTTTCAGTAGAGTTGGCAGAAACCAACTGAGCAGTTGGAAATTATTGGAGAAAATATTGAAAAGAAGCTCAGTAGACCTGGGTAAGAAAAGTTGGTTTAAAAAGTCATGAGGACTGACTCCTTCTGTAGACAGCCTAAGGCTTGTCAGGCAAGAAAAAAAGTATTATAGTGTTCCTTATGTTGCTTTCAATACTGATACTAACTCTCTTCAAGAATATAGCAAGAAAAATACCCCCAAGCCATTTGACACTTACTGCCATATTCTCTTCATTCGCCTCTACTGGTATGGCTGATATCAAAGTCAGGGTTTCAAGAACAGCATTTAGGTTTGCAGCAGAATCGTTTATTTCCTCCTGTGTCTGCTTGGTGGTTTCTTTCAGTTTTTTAAGGAATGTTGGCAACTTTTTCTGGGACTCTGGACTGGAGGCCAAAGACTAGAATTAGAATTAAACATGTTAAAGACAAATTAGATGGCATGGCTGGATCATCAGCTAAACTGAACAGCTTTGGCTAAATGAATGTTGGGAATTCTGCTTGTGATATGGTAATGAAGGCACAGCCACTTAGGTTTCTTCATCTAAGTCAGTAGTGGCGAACCTATGGCACGCGTGCCAGAGGCGGCACTTGGAGCCCTCTCTGTGGGCACGCACGCTGTCGCCCCAGCCCTGCCTCCCCCCGTGGCCCCCTCACCAGCAGCCCCCCTGGAGGGGAGTCACTCCGGGCACGGCCTGCACTGAGCAGTGCAGCCAAAGATATAGCCAGGCAGCAGGGACAAGACTCCGCCCTCGTGCCTCATAGCATGCAGATGATGCTGTGGGGTGTGGGCGGAGGGCGTCGCTGCCATGGCACTGCAGGGCTGCCTGGGCGGGCCATGGAGGTGGTGCGTGGTCCTGTGGGTGGGCGGGGCAGGGGGAGGGCAGGGGCAGAGCAGGCAGGATGGAACACAGAGCGGGGGCAGGGGGCAGTTTTTGGGCACTCGATCTCTAAAAGGTTCACCATCACTGACCTAACTTATCCAATTGTCACTGAATGGGACAAAGAGACATTCCATTTTGAAGAAGTCATAGTAATTTACTGCTTTTTCCTTCTTGGGCTAAAGACGGCTGGAGGTGGGAGAATTAAAGCAGGTTGGTTATAACATTAAGAGCCATAAGTCAGAGTGGCCATGGTGTAATTAAGACAGAGAAAATAATATGTGTTCATGGCTCAGGATAGGGCTGGTGACTCTGTCCTAGCTTTCCTGAGTCTCTCAGCAGATTTTGATACTATCAGCCATAGTATCTTTTTGGACTGGCTCTGGGGATTAAGAGTAAGAGGCATTGTTTGGCAATGGTTCTCTTTTTCCCTGTGGCTGGTACCAGACAGTGCTGGTGGGGAAGGAGAGGTCAAGTCCCAGATTCCTACTATGTGAGGTGCCTCAGAGCTTCAGTTTCTCTCCCCTCCTATTTATCTATATGAAGCCATCAGGAAAGGTTATCTGGCATCTTGGGATGTGGTATCATCAGTATGTTGATGCCGGGCAAAGGATGCTGTTCAGGTGCTGGTTCAGTGCCTGGAGATTATGTAAGGGCCTGGGAGAGGAGAAACTAGCTGCAATTCAATCCCAGAAAGGTGGAGTGGTTACGTAGCTTTGGTCCCTTGGAATCAGGACAGTTGGTATCTCTGACTCTGAATGGAATAATACTCCTCTGGACAGGTCTGGGGTGCAATTTTTGGGTCTTCCTGGACTTTTGGCTCCTGCTAGAATAGCAGGTGGCAGCCAGGGACAGGGAATCCTTTGCACAAATTCATATTGTCCACCAATTTCACCCATTCCTGGGAGAGTTTGCTTATGATCATTCCTGCCTTAGTCACCTGCCATTTAATTTACTGTAATGCATTCTACATGGGGCTGCCCTTGAAGACCAGCCAGAAACTGCAACAGATTCAGAATGCAGCAGCCTTATAATTCACTTGAGTTCACCACAGCTGTGTGAGCTTCATTGGCTGCTTCTGGGTGCACTCAAAGTGCTGGTTATTATCTTTAAAGCCCTACATGATATAGGGCCAGATTATTTGTGGGACTACCCCATCCTGAAGGTGTATACTATACTAAGTTAAGTAGGAAGGTCATGCTTCAGACCCCCTCCTTTAAATGTTGTCACCTGATATGGTATGCCTTCTCAATGGTCACCCCAATCCTAAAAGGTTAGTGGCTAAGATCTGAAGGATCCCTATCCTTTTAGCCTTCCTCCAACATTGAGCTAGGATGAGGGTTAACCTGGGATGGTGTTTGGCCTGTCAACTGCAGAGAAGTTCTTTGTATTTCTGTTTTTCTTGTTTTGAGACATCTAGAATCATTTCATGAGATAGACAGCTGTATACGTTTTGTAAAAAAATAAATAAATGACATGCTAATTAATCCTTAGAGAAAGCGTGATAATGAAACTCTGCTTTTTAACTCACATGGAATACAGAGAATGAGAAGGACAAAGCTGAGCTCAACTGATGAATCAGGCAATAGTCAAATCTAGGACAGAATTCCAGCACACTCTTCAAGAGAGTGGTGGTATTTCTTGGCATATGCAAATATATGTAAACATATTACTGATATATATGTATGCATGTATGTGTATATTTTAAAGCCAAATTAATGAAATATCTATCCATCTATCTATCTATCTATCTATCTATCTATCTATCTATCTATCTACACACAAACATACAAGCTCATTTTGCTGAGGTACAGGTAGTCCTTACATTATGACCATTTGTTTAGTGGCCATGCAAAGTTACAACACTGTTGAATGAAGGAAACTTAAAATGTTGCAGTATAGGTGGTAGGGTACTTTATGGTCATGTTGTTTAGTGATGGCAATTTCCATCCCACCTGCCATCAGAAACCAAGAACAACCTGTGTTGTCCAGCTATTCACAGACTGTGGAATAAGATGGAAAATGAGTCTATGTTCATGGCTATTGATCAAAGGCTACTGGGACTTTGAACTTCCTGACAACATCAGTAGAAGACAGAATCAGTCCTCCCTGTAAGGCAAAAAAAAAACCACTTGGTTCTAACAACCAGGTTGGAGAACTAAAGGGAAGTTCACTCATCCATTGACCTCAATTCTCAGAGCACCTTGTTTCAGTAGACCTCAGATCCCCTGACTTGGCCTGGGCTCACTATGCAGACTGAAGCATAATTACCTCAGCAGAATTCAAAATGTCATTGATGGGGCCTGCCAGGCAGTCATTTCTATGAACAGTCCATTTCGTATGATCACATCTATACGTGATGTTTCCTCTCACAGAGTTACTCGTCCCATGGAAATTTAAGCAAGGCTTTATGATCTGCGCTTCATTTGCTCCCACACCAATGTCTGAGGAATTGCACACCACATTCTTTGCTGTGGGGGAAAAATTGGTTTTTAAAAGTTATATCTTGCTTTCGGAGACAGGTGCCTACTTACAAATATATAGAACTAGCTCCTGTTCATCAGGAATAAGAGATCATCCATTGCATGTATGAATAAAATCTGCTTCTTACTACACGACAAAAAAAACTGTTTTTAACTGAGAAATCCTGTGGTTTATTCCAATGAAAGTATGCGAGGAGTTGCAGATCATGGAGAATTTAAAGGAGGGTGGCTTTTTTAAGGACAAAATTATGTAGGATATCCAATTTGGGAGGAAAAAGAAAGTATGTCTTCAAATTAATATTTCTGTTTTCCAGTGAAGAAGTACAGAACAAGATACTTTTGGAACAGAAAAAAATACCTCCCCCATTTTTCTACAATGTGAAAAGCAGAGTCTTCAGACTCAGAGAAAAATGCAAAATGTACAAGACCCAGCATGAACAAATTATCTGTTATCGTCCACCTGTTATCTTTCAAACAAACTGGTTCCTACTAGGATCAAAGCAGATAATCCTATGTTATAGTAAGATTGACTTGTTTGCATTAGTGACTGATTTATGCAATGGCATTCTCTCTTACCTGATACAAAATATAGGACCATAGCTGGACTTGTCACATTATGATTGATTTGATTCATAAACATACAATGCACTTGCAGAGCACGTCGTTTGGAATTGCAGTGTATGCCTGTGAAACTTGGTATGGAATAGTAGCAGTTGAGATTATTTCTTCTTCTTCTTTCTGTAAAGGAACACATTATTTAAGTTGGGGTTAAGGTTTCGGTTTCAAAATCCAGAGTACAAAGCTAGTCTCCTGCCCTTAACCTAGACATTAGTCAGATTTATTAATATATATGTGTTTTCTCCCACGTAAAATTGGAAGTGTCTTGGCGAATATATATATTCATATCTAGTTAGGTGAAGACATTTTGTGTTAAATCTCTGAGAAAACAACTTTTTAACTGTTTGTAAAAGGCTTGACAGCTTCAGTCAAGACTGTGAGAGCTTAGATCCTGTTTCATCCAGTCACCTTCTATAACTTAGACCCCTGATAATGGAGAATATTTGTAGCTCATGGTTGAAATGAGGGTTCCTTGGTACTCTCTGAGCTTGATTGCTTTCTTGCAGACATTTCATTACCCATACTAGGTAACTTCATCAGTGAGAGTAAGGAATGGGCACGCTTACTAGCACAGATGATGTTACTTAGTTTGGATAACGAAATATCTGCAAACAACAACAACAACAACAACCAAGCTCAGAGACCACCAAGGAACCCTTCACATAGACCCCTGATACAGGTTTTTCCTTCAGTACTAATCAATATTAGAGAATTAAGAATGTGGGGATCACTAAGGGAATTGGTGCTGAATCTCAGATTACTCAACTCCCTACTACAAAGCTTTGGGACAGTGTTTCTCACCCTTGCCAACTTTTAAGATGTGTGGACCTCAACTCCCAGAATTTTTCAGCCAGTATGAATTGAGATTCACGCATGTGAAAGTTGCAAAGTTTGAGAAACATTGATGTAGAAGCAAACTGTGCTTTTCATGATTGCATTTGACCTTGCCATACCCCCATTAAGTTTTCAACAGAATGAATATCTAGCTATTCATCAATAGCCTTTCTTCCACCCAGCTTATAATTGCTTACCTGCCCTAATGGGTAAAGGCGAATTGTGATCATGAGAAAAAAAATTAACAGTGTAAGTTTCCATTCGGCTTGTACAGCATTCCAGAATTCTTGTTGCTGGACAAGAAATGACAGTCTTTATGGGATCTCTTATGATCTCTTGAGGCCGGAGCAAAGGAATAACTTTAATTGTTATATTTCCAAAGCTGCTCAAAAAACGTTGGGAAAAATTGCACGTATAGATGCCTAGAACAATAAAACCGGCAGGTTTAACAAATACAATATTAAAGAAATTAACAACAGACACATTTAAAACAGCAGCCACTACCATTAAAGTCCTCTAAAATCAAGCAATAGAAATGATTGAAAAGGCACTTTAGTGAACTTCTTATTTCATTGATAAAATTATTTTTCTCATGAATGGGGTGGTTGAGTGAAATGATTCATGTCTTTACTCACCAGTCCAGTCCTGGTTTGCCCTAGGTACAGTCAGCACAGACATGGCACCTGTGAGGCTCTTTGTGGTGGTGTACCACATACTAGCTATTTCCTTAATAGTTCTGCCATTTTGAATTTTCCAAATTACTGTGTCATAATTGCTCACATCACTCTGGCATGTTAAAAAGAAAGCATCTCCCTCAGAAACAATAGCCTTTGAACTTGAAAGGGTTATTTTTGCTGGTGAAACACAAAATAAAGAGAAATTATTTAGTATTTAATTATGAGATCAACATTACCAAAGAGACTTATTGGAGAATTGTGTGATATGCCTTCCTAATATGACGATTAGTTCTTATATGTTAGACTTTAGTTCTTCCGTACAACACATGTTCTAATCTTTTATTGACCATTCTGGATCTCAGTCTTAAAATGTTTTGCTTCCATCATTTGCTGTGTTCCTTAGCATGGTTTAATAAAGTATTTTTCCTTGTGTCTTTAAAACAGCTGGCACAAAATTATTTGTTTATACCATCTTGTTAATAACTGTGGGAAGTTTTTGATGTCTGCAGTCCAGAATGTTTCACCATACCTAACAAAGTTCCAATAGCATAAAAGTTGGCAACCACCCTCCCCCCCCTCTCTCTCTCTCAAAAAGCAGAAAAAACCCTCCTCTATAATACCAGAAGGACAAAAAGGATACAACACATATTTTCAAATAATCTGTGGCCAGAAAAGCAATGTGAGATGAGATGAAAGGCTATATGGAGAATTGTATGAGTCAAGCCTATATCAAAAATTTAAGAGCAAAGTCTAAAATGAGCAGCTAAAATTTGAAGAACCTTTAGAATCCAGTGGAGGAACTGAACAAGCTTTCCATGGGACAAAGTCTGGCACTACCGTGTCACGAAAGAATCCCCTTCTTGCTTTCCCGGGATCCTGGTCTCTTGCCACAAACTTTGTACAGTTTAATTTTGTTCACATTCATTGATGGTCCGTCCCCGAAACTGCAGCCTAGCTAGAAGCATTTATGCAAAAATGCTAACTTCAATACTGTATTCTAAATCTAGTACTACAGATTTTCTCAGATGATTACTGAATCCATCCACACAGTCAGAAAACAGGTGCTGTATCCAAAAGAGATGCTTACCCACACGAAAATATGTCACTTTGATTATTTTATTGGCACGAGCACCATAGGTGGTATTTAGCTCACATGTGTAATCAGTGCTGGTGCCAGACTTGTCTACTGGGCACTGAGATTCACTAGCCTGTAGCAAGTAGGTGGTACAGTTGTTCATAGAAGTAGTGCTTCCTGCAAAGAAAAGCAATCAATCTGAAAAAAAAAAAAGATTGAAGAAAGGCCGCTACTAGAAAGAAAACTATGTAGTATCTGAGTTTCTGCCTCCTATAGCAGTTATACATTGCGTGTAGTGGAATTATGAAGAAGAAGAACGGAGGAGGAATTTGTATGTTGTTGTGGTGGTTAAATTTATATCCCACTTTTCTTACGGAGGCTCAAAGCAGTATACATGGTGCTCATTCTTCATTTTTTTCCTCAACAAAAACCTGTGAGATGGGTTGAGCTGAGAATTATGTTCCCTTTACTGAACATTGCACACACAATAAAAGGCTGAGTGCATGCAAATTAAGTTACCCAAAATAATAGTAACAAATTTAAACATCCGAAAACGTTGCTGCTTTAGACAGTGCTACTTTATAATTGATTATTCAAATCTCAAGAGTTTGATTTTAATAGCCTGCAGAAGGGCAACAATGTAGGGACAAATTGAAACCCTGCTTACAGCCAATTCCACAGACCAGGTGCCTCAACTGAACATCGTCCCTGCAAGCCTCCAGTCATTTTTTTCTACAACATTAGGTTTCCCTTTTGCAGGGAGATATTTGGGCTAAGTACAAGGCACGTATACTCTTTTTCCTCCCTCTTCATAGCCATAGCTACTTTACGGTTAACCAGTTGCTCCTAGGTGGCCAATCCACTGAACATACATATCGGAATTTGCACCAAAAGGGGTGTGAAACTCTATACACTGTATCTCCACTGCCATTCAGGTCTTTTTGATTTTTCTGGAAAGGAATGCTAAATTTCCCATTGACAGATCAACTACTGTCAATTTCCTCTTTGCAGGCAAATCTGGAACTCTGGGTTTTGTGAAGGAGAAGAGAGAGCAGAAATAGGAAAGCACTTAGCTTTCTGCCCCACATTTCTAACTGTGATAAAGGGATTGGAGTTCTCCATGATAAAAGATTATTACCTTTTTGGTCTAAGAAGGGAGCAAACAGTGAGCTTGCTCAACACACAGACTGGTGCAAGTTAGGCAATGATGGAACAAGAGAACATTACCCAATTTCAGGTTCAGGTCTTAATTTTGCTCTGATGGAGGAATGTATAAAAGTCAGATTCTAGGCCCATGTTTGGGTCCAGCTTACTGTGATCCACAGAAAAGCACAAATAATGAGAGATAGTTACACTTTCTATATAAAGACCACTGGAAAGAGAAAAAGGATCAGCTATAACCAGCACTTAGTAGAGATGATATTGCTACATACCTGAAATATTTATTGCTCCATTGGGTCTCCAATAAGGAGAGAAAAGTTGTATGTCTCTATCTGTGCAGCAGTTCAGTTCTCTTCTATCTGTACCATCACAGACAATAGAAACATTTTCTGATGGCACGAGTTTAATTTGAGAGACCACTACATTAACTTCACCTCTGTATATTGAGGACAATTTCTCTCTGTTGACTTTAAAACTGCAACTAAAATTATCTGCAAAAAAGACAAATATGTTATGGGCAAACATGGTTTCCTAAAACAACACACTTGTTAGGCACAAAACCCACTTCTGAAATACTGTATAACTAGCTTATCACAGTTCTCTAATAAAATAAATGTATGCTATAGTTCTAATACATGAAGTAATATCTCAGAGAAATAATCAGTCCCAGACTGAGCATGAGCCAAAAGGATGAGTAAAAAAAGTATAATGCAGTATTATTTTGCTTTAATGGAATAACCAGTTTAGCTAACATCATACCAGCAGACCTGTAGTTGTGCAACAGGAATTTGTTTCTGCTCTTGAATGTTTCCCAACCATCTTGTTCAAATTTGAGGGTACAGCAATGATATGGTGAGATAATGTTTGATAATTTGGGTAAAAAGTTATTCAATAAAAATTATGTAACAGTGACAAAACATAGCTTGCTATCATCATTTCAGGCATTACACCTTAAGAATGAGATAGGAAAATTAGCATTGGTTCAAAGAAGGCCACCAAATAATCGATCAAAGAAGTCTTGTGAGGAAAGCTGGTCAGAAACAGGATCCATGGGCAACTGCAGAGGGCAGATAAGTGTCAGAGCACACAAGCTTGTGACTCACACATTTGTATCCACCACTGAGAAACAAATATATAAGGGCAAATTTCACATGATATTATGTGCCTGGTGTCATTTTGATGTAACCTCACACCACCATGATGCTTATGACTGAGTCTATTTACACGGGAGAGGAGAAGGCTGAGAGAGAATGTGTCAGCACTTTATAGGTTACCTGAAGAACTGCTCCATAAATCAAACCAATAATTCCGAAGAGCTGGGCTAGATCTAACAGACTTAAGTTACAATAAAGTTTTTGAGAGAAAATTAGGAGGCCACCTTTTAACAATAAGTGTAGGTGGAGCCAATTAGCTAGAGAGATGGTAGGCTTTACCTTGCTGGAACCCCTGGTTGGGATTGCCCAACTATTTGTTGGGAATGGTCTAAGTTCTAAATCTCCTGCTCCGAGAAGGGAGTTATCCATGATGGCCTATAATACCTTTCTTTCGGTTTTTTTGCTGGTTCAATAAACAAAAGGACTTATGTTAAAGTTAATTCTGTCTCCCAACAAAACCTCCACAGTCTCCCACCACAATCTGGAGACATTCGCTGGAATGACTGACTAAGGCCTTTAATATACTGGAGAGCACATGCTGATATTATTGGGTAGCTATGAGCTCATTCATACATCCTGCTTGCCCTGGCAGAAGGATGGCCCATTCACTGTTTTTTGAGAACAGAAACTCACAAAATAATCTTCAGCCATGCCCTAGAGCAGGCATGTCAAACCTGCGACATCACGTTATGTTGCGCGACGTATCGGAGCTTTTTCGCCATTGCTGGCAATGGGGTGGGTGCGGCTCCAGTATGATGAAACCGGCCCATGGGCCGGCAGTTTGACATCCCTGCCTTAGAGCCTAGACCATCATCAAGGCCATCTCCATCCATCTTTCCTTACTCTATCTCCAAACTGCTGTTTTCTGACTTTTGCAAGCACAATACAATCAATGCCATATGATGAAAGTCTCAGCAGCTTTCAAAGTTTGCAGAATTGCAAAATATATTTGGGAAAGGGAAAAAGGGATCCAAGGTTGGGGGCATGGAATCTGACTGATGGTTGGTAGCAAAAAAATGGAAATCCTGGTGGAAATGGAAATGACTAGAGGAGTATAGCGATGCCTGGAATAGTGACCAGAACACACACTGCACTGCATTCCTACTTGTGAATTTCAGTTCAGCACACAGCTTGGGCTAATATTCTGACTCAAGGCTAGCTGAAGCTCTGAGCACAGAAGAAGACCTGCTGCTAATATCACTGCTAATGGAGGGAAACCTGCTGAAGCAGGAAAAAAGCTTATTATTGGGAATACCTCAGAGCAGGTTCCATGGCGTTGCCAGCATTGATCCAATCTTTTAGTATATTCTGGTTACAGTTGGGAGACCAGTAGTGTTCAACAGTAACATTTTGTGCCACACTTGAGTAACTTTGCCTAGAGATTGTGACAGTGTGTTGCTTTCCCAGACAGTGTAATAGAATGAGTTTGTTTGGTTATACTTGTCCACATTTTAGATCTATGGGGAATATTATTGTCAAATAATCCCAGCTTAAAAAAGGACATTGTTGGTTCCAACAATTGACTGCAAGGGCCACAAATTTTGGGATGTAGCTGTATCTTCTGTTTGATGCTGCATTTGTACAGCACTGGGTAAAATGATGTGGCAAGTGCTCCCTTGTTTCCCAGATAGATTGTTAATAAGATGAGAATCTGTAGCTCAGGGGTGAACTGTGAAGTTCTTGGTGCTCTCTGAACTTGATTGTTTGCTTGCAGACATTTTGTTTCCTAACTAGGAAATATTACCAGTGCTAGGGAGCATGGGGCTTCTTCCCTGCTTATATACAATGGCTTATCCTACTAATGTTGGTGGGGATGTTTATAAGAATTGGTTCTGACTGAAACACAAACAACAGCTCCAGCACTCTTCTATTTAGAATTCAGAATTACCTGCTTCGTTCAGCTTGATGTCTGTTATTGTCAGAGTTGCTATCTTGCTTCCTTCTTTATCCTCTTCTGTCAAGGTAAGCCTGTCAGGTTTGATGACATTATACCTCCAGGTCACCGTTCTTGAAATGTATTCTGTCATGCAGGTTATTTTTACTGTATCACCCTCGAAAATGTGTTCAGGAGAAATAGAGATGTTTACATTACCTAGCATGGCATAAAGAGAATTCTTCAAAACTAGTGGAAAGTGAATTTTTTATTATCACCATATATACTTTAGTGATATGTACAATTTAACTGTTGCTGTTCAGTCTAAGAAAAATCACAGCTGCTTTAAGGTATAACACACAGATGCTATATTTGTACTCTCCTGGACTCTGAAGTATCTTTGGGGACTGAAAATGAAGCTCTAAATGGTCCTATAATTCAATATATAGTGAATCTTTCATTCTAAATATCCAACTAGCCACACACACACACACACACACACACACACATATATACATGTATGCACATCTCTCTCTCTCTCTCTCTCACACACACACACACACACACACACACACACACACACACACAAACATTTTCAGCATGCAAAAAAAAATATTTTCCAAAATTCACAGAAATATGTGAACTAGCACATATAATACAAAGTATTGCTCAAGTATAATGGCCAGCTACTCCATAGTATTATTTTGTACTCTTCTGAACATGCTTTGGAAATCTTCTGAAGCTACCTAGCAAAATTAAGACATTGGAACTAATATCTTAATTGTTTAAACATTGATGTCTTCAGTTCGATGGAGTTCTGGTTCAGGGGATGAGAGAATTTTGCATGTGGGCTTTTCCAAGGAGATTAACAACCATTTAGCTTAATGAATACAAACATCATTTTCAAACAAAGCAGTGCCAATCAATGGCCACTTTTTCACAAATCCGTGGTAATGACTGAATCTCCAAGTTTGATTCTTCACTACTATAGCCTGGCCTGTGGTTGTAAAATTATGATAAACTTTAAAAACATTTTCTTGCCACCTAGAACACCAATTGTATTCACCAAAACAGAAATACACATGTTAAGAAAAGACATATAAAAACATTACCAATGATTTCTGTTGCAAATGTGGAAGATGCTAACTGGTAGGGATCATGTAAGAGAGCAGCTATGTGGGGATGTGCTTTTTCAAGCGGGATCTGCCTTGCTGAGGTTATTTCATAGTCAACCATGATGCTTCCAGGCCTATGTAAAAAGAACATCAAGTCCAATAAGTTCAAGGTCATTATGTAATAAATGATACACAATATGGTTTTCCTGCCAATGTAGCAGTTTTAAAGGATGCCAATGTGAGTAGATAAATAGGTACCACTTCGGTGAGAAGGTAACAGTGTTCAGTGCACTTCAGCATATAGTCATGCTGACCACATGACCACGGAAGCATCTTTGGACAATTCTGTTTCCCTGAGCTAGGAAACAGAGATGAGCACTGTCTCCTTAGTCAGACATGACTAGACAGGGGAAACCTTTACTTTTACCTTTTTAAATGACTTTTAAAGCTATATTTTCATGATAGCTGGAGGAAAAGAAAACTAGATGTGGGTTGCCTCATCATTCTCTTTGATGATTCTGCCTTATCCACTCAAAAAGCAAGATAGTCCAATGTGATAGTTTGTGGCTAACAGGACAAAGGGTGAACTCCTGCTTCTGCAGTAGATTTTCCATCTTCCTGTGTCTCCAGAATCTACTTCAGACGGCTCACCAATCTTCTTGACAATTGTTTGCTTGATTGTTTCTTCCAGTAAATGCTATCCTTCAACCTCCCCCCACCAAAAAACCACTACTGGGGGTAATCCAAAGTATCTTCACTGCTAGACTCATATAATGGACTGTAAAGAAATATTCACTGCTTTATTTTAAGTGCTTACATTGTGTTTGCATGTTTATCTCTACATTTCTATTGTGAGGAGAAATGTTTGCAGTCCTGATTAGAGCAATTTTATTTATTTCTACCACTCTAATGAAGTTATTAGCACAATTTAACATAACATTTGCTGCATCACTAAAAAGGAAAAGAAACGAGTTTCAAACATTAATTATTTCTACATGAATATGCCTTATTTTGTATGTGCAACAGCATGATTTTCCATTAAAGGAAATAATTTATTTACATTAAATAAGTAATTGCAGGTCTTTGCTGATGTCCTTAGTATATAAAACTACAGTACCAGCTTTGGCTTTATTATTTCTTGTTTAAACTTCAATGCATCATGTAAAACTATTCCCAGCTGTAATGTCTGTAATTGTCTTTTCACTTAAAAATGTGTATTAAGGATGCAGACAGGTCCAATACAATGGATTTCGTACCTTCCAAAATAAAGAAGTAATTGTGGTTTCTTTGCTTCTTCTTAAGGGGCCTTAAACACCACAGACTTGGGGAAGATCCTTGCTTCTTTCTCTTGAAGTACTGCACAGCTTTCAAAATTTCCATACTATTGGTCCATATTATCTTCTTCATCCCACAGTCTGCTTTTTATAACACTCAATGGAAAATTGAGAGCCAGTCTGGTGCAGTGGTTAAGGCATCAGATAGAAACCAGGAGATTGAGAGTTCTAGTTCTGTCTTAGCTATAAAGCCAGCCAGGTGACCTTGGGCCAATCACTTTCTCTCAGGCCTACGAAGTTGACAATGGCAAATCACTTTTAAAAAACCTTGGCAAAAACACCGCAGAGACTTATGTAGGCAGTCTCCCAGAATCAGACATAATTGGATGGAAGGGAGCAAACAATGAACACTTCCATATTTTGTGAACTGTTAGCCTAATAAAAGGCAACCCATTGGCTGGCAGGGCAACTAGTGCAAGCCAGGCAAAGTTAAATTGCTAAACTGCAAGAGGGAGGAAATAGGAGCTACAGGTTGAGGAAATGGATTAAAAAACTTCCTGATTCTCAGTAGATCAGGCAGCAGGAAAGAGGAAAAAGGAGGGAAAGAAGTTTGTGTTGGAAATAGGAAAGAGTTAGCTTAAACTCCGAGGATCAAGAAGTTTTTTAATCCATTTCCTCAACCTGTAGTTTCTATTTCCTCCCTGGGTATGTAAGCCAGAAAAAGGAAAGCAGGAAGTGCTCTCTGTTGGTAGAAATATTTGGTGTGTATAAGAAATAAAAAGAGAGAAAGACAGTTTTTTCTCTCTCTCTGCAGCACTTTGTCTAACTGGGATTCCACTCCCTGCAGTCCTGGTTATGCAGAAAAATTAAGAGAATGATTGGCAACATGACCAGTTTGGATAGAAAGAGGTAGAAAGTTTCATCAGTTGACAAGAGAAGAAGCTATCTGACTTAGAAGGCCCAGACAGACTGAATCCCTGACACATCTGGAGGGGCTTATTAGCTAAGGCTTATTGCAGTATAAGGTTGCTTGGATATACACTGTGTTTTTGACGCATACTGTATCATTGAGCAGAATGTTTGGTAAATCTTGTGAGACAGATGTCTGTAACTCTAAGCAAATTTCTCTATAGGGCATGGAAGAGATTTATCCCCATAAAACTCAACTACTGTACCTATATTATGTTTCTATATGCTATTTTTAATGATGCAATCAGAATGATGAAAAGTTCAAACTGGAAGAAAGATGTATTTTTCTTATTGGACACCTCAGAATATAATGAAAATGCCCTTAGAGATCCCTTGCTAGTTGGAAATTTGGCATTAGGATTGAGGAAAACAAATTGCATAGGAGCCAAAAAGTAATTCTTGATGGGTGATCATGGTGCGAACTAGCTCTTGAACTTAGAATAGGTAGTACAACATAGGCTACAAAGATATAGCTCTAGAATGGATTTGAGGATTTTTATCATGGCTAATATAATTTATTTTGCTTCCTCAATTATCTGTGCAGTTAATTATTATGATTCTTTGAGTGAGTCTTGACTCTCCAGATGTCTACATGGACAGGTTTGTACAGTTTTCTTGGCAATATTTTTTTAAAAATGGTTTGTTAGTACCTTGTTCCTAATTTAGAGCTGACACAATGATTAGCCCAAAGTCACCCACCTGGTTTCCATGCCAAGGGGTTTCCTGTTCCTAATACAATATCTTTATGACAAAATTGTCTTTCATTATCTGTAGGTTGCATTTACTGTATATAGGTTGTATTATCTATAGATTGTGTTTTTCTGCTGATTTTACTGCTGAAAAGCTTTTCTTTGCCTTAAAAGTTTGCACTACTTAAAGCTGATTTCATTTTATGTTTAGCATTTATCAGTTGAAACATTATGTGAAGTCACAACAAATCATTTTTACCTATAATCTTTTCAAATGAAACAAAAAGTTTTTCATACCTGAATCCTGTAACTGTTGCATTTATGAAACCCGATAAAGTTGAATAGCCCTCAATAAACTGAAAAAAGCAATATATTTTGCAGAGTATTATTAAGGCCACATTATTTCACTTACTATTACAGACATCCTACATACTTTCATGAAATATCAAACAAATATCATGATTTTCTCAGTCCTGATCTCATGGCTAAGGATTCTTTGCCAAATCTAATATAGAAATAACCTACTAAAAGTGGATGAAGAGATACGTTGGATTACAATGCCCATAATACCCAATCAGCATGGTTATCAATTAAGAACACTGGTATCTAGAACCGGGGTCCCCAACCCCTGATCCACTGCCCAGTGCTGGGGCATAGCCCAATTGGAACCATAGGCCATGGAAGTGGTGGGCATGTGTGAAACTTCATTTGTGAAAGCAGCGAGCGCATGCATGCAAAACAATCCCCCCCCCCATCCTCACCACTTCCACTGGTCTACTGAGCTGAAAAGGTTGGGGAATGCTGTTCTAAAACATCTGAAAGATATTAGATAAGGGAAGGTTGATTTAACCTGAATCTTAATTCAAAACCAGAGTTTATTCAGAGAAAGTCCATTCATTTCTGTTATAACAAAATGAAATAAATAGTTTCCCAGGCTTAATAGTTCCCAGGCTTTGGCAGTTCCTTACCAAGCAAGCTAACAGTAAATAACCTAACCAAAGAACCCCCCAAGACCCACCAACACTGATGGGGCAAGCCATTAGAACATAAACTGAGAGCAAACCCCACTCCCTACTAGCACTGCTGCTGTTACCTAGTTTGGGTAATGAAACATCTGCAAGAAAAAACACCAAGGACCCCTCATTTCAATTTTGAGCTACAAATATTTTCTTTTATTAGATTAGAGGCTGTATATTGCATATGAAATGCTTCTACTACTCTTTCACCATGCTATTGCCAGATAATCCCTAGCTGAATACATGTATGTATTATTTTAGGAATATATGTATTATATTAGAAAATTGGGATCCACATATGCCAGCAATCATTTCTTTCTTTCTGTTATATAGGTGTGTCAATTAAAAAAAATGTTGCTGTTTTTGTAAGTTTGATATTACCAGTCCCATAAAAATACAACATCCTTCATAGACCACTTAAAGTATCAGCTCCATTCCCAACTACACAGAAAAGGCAAGGGGACTTACTTAATTTTTTTCCTTGAAAACATTTCATTTCTCATTCAAGATGCTCCTTGATTTTAGAACTTCCAGTTTTGCGTGGTAGTGACCGGTCATGGGCTTGTGGATTTTCCACATCCCAGTGGCTAATTTCGCCCTGCCAGGGGACCTTAAATGGGTCTAAGTTACCCTGGAGAGATGGCGAAGAAAGAAGGGTGCCCCGGTGATTCTGAAATGACTGTGGTCATTCCATTCAACTTGGGAAAAGCCTTTTAACCTGACAGGAGAAAAGCTGGCCATACTTCATCGACCAGCCCAAGTTACTTGCAACTGAAGTCCAAAAGTACTAACCAGCACAACCCTGAACAGCATGCTTGAAACTGGGTGAAGAATTCGATCTTCTCTTTTCTCTTTTATATTTAATTTTCTGGAAAAGATCCCCAAGAAGCAAAATACCTCTGAAAAGGAAGGAGGGGGATTTCCGCCCCACCCTTATACTAACGGAAGCGGCGAATTAATCTTTTTATGGAGGATCAAAATATATGGAAGTGAAATAAATATAAAACCTGAAATTTAAAACTTAAATCTGGATAAATTTAAAATTGTTGAATGGTTAAGACTCTCATTCTAAAGATAATCGTTCATTTTGGAAATTGAAAAACAAATAGATGCTGACACCTAGTGGTGGATGAAGACTATGACAGCTATGGCTTTAATATAAGACTTGGCAAAACCTGGGAAAAGCTAATCTGTGTTTGTGACTTTCAAAGCTTTAACAACAAAGAACAGCTGTGACAAAAAAAGACAATAATCTGAGTTGTAGACAAAGAGAATTATAAATTTCAGGAAAAAAAATCTTTTTTGAACTATTTGGATTACAAATATCTGTTTAACCAGGACTCTAAAGCTATTTGCAGAGAAAAGAAAAGAAGAGAAAAACTCAAATTCTTGGCCATCATGGATCAGAGACATGTAGAAAGAACCTATCAAGAAAACAAATACTCAACAGGAGGAGATATATAGTATACTGCAACTAATTCAAACAACAATGTTTTTAAACCACAAAGAAATCCAAAATAACTTTGAAAATATAAACCAATTTATTTCCAAGTTAACTCTACAACAAAAAAATTCCCAGAAAATGACTTCCGGTTCCAGATGGCGGTGCACTCAGTCGCATGGAGAGACTCGTCTATTCGCTGGCTGCTTTCCCTCCACTGGTAGACCCCTATCGGGTCGAAAAAGTCACACTGGAGGGGTGACCACCATTGAGGAGGCTCTTGTCCGACTGTAGAAGTGCGGCAGCTCCTTCTGCAGTCCGAGCTAGCTCTGTAGGGCTGACGGAGAAGAATATCGGCCAGTAAAATGGCTGATCACCCAGCCACACCAGCCGAAAGTCAGAAGAACAGCTAAGCATAAAGAACCACTATGGTGAATCCGGGTGAGACCCTTCCTTCCCTCTCTTTGCCCTAATTACTTTCCTTTAAAAAGCCTTTGAACGACTTCCCTGTTTTAAGAGAGCGGTGTTTGTGTACTTGGGAAAAAGAGCTTGACAAAAGAAATAAAATAGTTATTTTTTATTGACTATTTAATTTTTTGGATACCTAGGGGTCCTGAAAAAAAATTTCTATCATAGAACATTATTATTACTCTATTTATTATGTTGGAGATATCTGTTTTTCTTTTTCTATTTTTCTAATGAGACAAAATTTTATTAACTTGGAAAAAAGATTTTACAGTTCACTGAGGACATCTTGTGGTGAAAATTGTCATTGCAATTTTATTTCCTTTTGCTACTTGAAAATGGATTTGACCTTCAAATGATAATAAAAGGGAAAAGATAAAGAACTTGGAACAGCTGGGTGGTGAATTTGCCTACTAGAAATTTTGGAGGTGGATATTTGTTGACTTTTACTAAATACAGTCTCCACTAAAAGATTAAAAGACTATTTCACCACTGAAATGGAGGAATCCTACCCACAGCTTGATTATGAACTTATACTGGAAAAAATCTTAGAAGCTACGGCATATATGAAATTTTGGAGAAAAATTAAAGATGATATCTCAGAACCACAAATGGATTCTCAAATTTTAATGGATCAAACTATATGCCAAAGAACAATAGAGGAGGAACAGAGTAACCCCAAAGAGGCCTCCACTCAACAACATATACAACCTAAAGAGATGGAGGAATTACACCTACAACACAACTATGAACTTACACTGGGAGAAATCATGAAAACTATTGAGCAAATCAATTTTACACAACCCCATATGCAATCCATGGAGAATTTTGATGATCAAAGAATAACTTTAACTGAGTTACCTGAATTGTTAAAACAACAGAGGCTGACATCCAGACACAAGTCACTGAAAATTGTGATAATGTGGACAATCAACTAGTAATTATAACATGGAATAAAACTGATTATACGATTCAGATGACACTGGAAGAAAGGAAGAGAACTTAGATCAGTCTGAAATGTCGAGAAATACTTCTATTCAAATATTGAGGTTTGATGACATAGAAGCTTTATTATGGAAACCGATTTGGCACAGAAAGAAAGCTAGAGTTAGATTTAAAAATGTGTTTCAAAATTTCATCTAATGGGTTAAAAAGGCTTTAGAGATTTTGACTGATTTAATAACTATGGAGTATGTGAATTCTGTAAAAGGATATTTTGTAATAATATTTTGTATTATATATGATAATTATTTGGAGGGGTAAATTTTATCTAATGGGTTAAAAAGACTTTTTATAGATATAGATTGATTGATAGAATATACATTTAAAATAGATAGAAATGTATCCTTTGGACTGATATTTTTATTTGAAGTAAGACAATTATTTTGTAATAGAAGGAGAAAAAGAGGGATATGTGATACGAAAAGAAATGGTATTAATAAATGATTTATTAAATTAAGAAATAGATTATATGTGGAAAATATAAGAATGTTATTGTTGGAACAATATATTTATTTTAGATAGAATTATTATGTTAGGGAAAAGGGAAATGAGGGATACCGGAAGTGTTAATAATATGTTTATTTGGACTTCCGGTGGAGACAGCCATGCCAATGGCGGCTTTTTTCAGCCGTCCGCCCTGGGATGTGTCAAAGCCAGCTGAGACAGCGAGCAACAGCTGTCTCGCGGCTTGGAACCTCTCTCCCCGGGCGAAGGAGAGGAGATGAGCTTTCCTCAGATAGTGGTAGAGCTCCCCGAGACCCCAAAGCTTTCTTTTTGGTGGTCGGAGGGTGAGAGCTCCCACAGAGTCTGAGGTGTCCTCCACATTCCAGGATGCCTTTGTCCTGATTTTTATCCAGGGCAAAGCTAGACGCTGCTTCCACATCTGCGTTTAAAATGAATTTGTGAGTAAAATTTAAAGGAGACAGAGCTGACCAGGAGAGATTAAAATGATGATTATTTCGAGACTTTAGCTCTGGAAAAGAATTTATCTTTTCCCTTTTTATTTCAATTAAGAGTGGTGAAAAATGGCACTGAGATGTTGATTCTTTGAGTGAAAGGACCGGAACTTCTATTTGAAACAATGTAATAGATTTTGTATTTATATAAAATGCAAGAATCTTCTTTTTTCTTTTAAGGGGGCTTTTGTCTTTTTTCCTCCCCCTTTTTTGGTATTTGTTGATTTTATAAGATTTTAGCAGACTTTTTAACAAGTGGTCTTAAAAATAAAATGGCTTCAAAGCATCTTGGAGCTTCTATTGTTTCTAAAGCCTCAATCTTCCTGGTAATGCAGACAGCTCAGCAAGTTAAGTTTAAGTTACCACCACCTTCTCCATTGTTACCAGCATCTATACTTAAAGATTTACAGGAGGCCTTGGGAAATAAGGCAAGACAGATTAAAGAAGAGATGGAGGAATTTCTTGAAAATAAAATTAGGGAACTGAGAGAGGATATTGCGTCTGCATTTCAAAAGTTTATTGGTCATATAGATCGACTGGATGATCATATTGATGATGTTGTGGAAAATTTTGAAAAACTGGAAGATCGAATTGATAAAGTAAAAAATAAGGCGGAAATAATACTGGATGAAATTACAATGTTACAATATAGAGACATGGAATTTGCTTTAAGAATAAGGGGAATGAAGGAAAACACGCAAGAAGATTTGAGACAAATGGTGATTAAAGATATAGCTTTCATTTGGGGGGCTGAGCCTGAAGAAATACTGAGAAAGACGGAAAAAGTTTTTAGGGTTGCGGGGCAGAGGAATTTGCCACGAGACGTGGTTATTTATTTTTCTAGAAGATCACTTCGTAATGAAATTTTACAGGCTTTTTATAAGCAGAGATTTCAAATTACAACTCAAGATGTTATAATTTTAAAAGAAATACCTTCAAAAATTCTTAGAAAAAGAAAGGATTTTGCTTTTTTGGCTGATGAGCTCAAAAAATGACAGGTCCGGTTCAGATGGGAGATATCGGCTGGAATAGTGGTGAGTTATGCGGGGATATATCATAGACTTAACACAATTTCAAAGGCGAAAGATTTTTACACTTCTGTTTTGAAGGCGGGCTCTCCATCATCTTTATGACCTGAGATTACAGAAGAAAAGTCGGAAGGGCAGCCGGTTGAAGGTGCTATGTTATTGGATGTAGGAGACATACAGGCTGAACCTCTGCAGCAGTCTCTTGTGACAGAAGATTTTTTAAAGAAACTGAGAATGACTCGTGCAGCCTATAGACATAAAGTAAAAGAACAGCAGAAGGCGGATGTTGGAATAAAGAAAAGGAAATGATGAACTTTTGTAGTAGCTTTTTGAGATAGAAGATGTTTTAAAGGAATACTGAATGATTTGTGTAATATGTAGAACAGTGGTTCTCAACCTGTGGGTCGGGACCCCATTTGGGGTCGAACGACCATTTCACGGGAGTCACCAAACAACGCAGTCCACCATTTTTTTCCTCTTTTCCTTAGCTGTGCTACTCCCTTTTATTCCATTGGCTTTTGAAAGCCAATAGAATAGACTCTCTTGAATAGAGTCTAATTCTATTGGCTTTCAAAAGCCAATAGGAATTGTCCAGGCTGTCTCTGCCCTGCTGAGCCCGCCAAAAGTCCCATTCTGCAAACGGTGCTGCACCAGTTGAGTAGTCCTCGACTTACGACCGGTTGAGTAGTCCTCGACTTACGACCGGTTGGGGGTCGCGGCATTAAAAAGGTTGAGAACCACTGATGTAGAAGTAAAGAAAAAGAACAATAAATAGTATGTTTTAAAGGAATAGTGAATGATTTGTGTAGTATGTAGATGTAAAGAAAAAGAATAATAGAAGATGACGATTTAGTGGAAAAGTTTAAATATTTGGGAGTATATATATTATAAAATTTTTAATTTAAAGTGTATAAAAATAATTATGAGATATTATGGGTAAATGTGTAAAAGAAATTCTAATGATCTCTGTTGGTGAGAATTTTAGTGATTAAGATGAATGGTTTGTTGAAACTTCTTAAGCAGGAGGGTATTAATAGATTTACGTAAGGGTGGGGAAAAAAGCAAATAGCCAAGTTTATCGAATGTAAGTTTGTTGGTTGGGTTATATTGGAAGGAAAATTTTGTGTTTATTATGGATGAATGGTTGTTTAAAAGAAATATACACCTCAGCATGGAGAAGATGGATAAATTACATGTAGAGTAAATATAGTTGATATGGGATTAAAAAGTATTATTTAGATTATGAATAATTTTTAGTTTTTTAATTTGGAATTGCTTATATTGTTATTTTTGGTTTTTTTTGTTTTTTATATATTTTATTTGCTTAAATTTATTTTGTATTCGAGTTAAAGTATATTATTGATTTTGTTATTTGTATAGTTGGATAAGTTTATTTAGAATTTGTTTGTTTATTTGTAACCCTGTAACCAGCTATGGGAAGTGAGGGGGGGAAGGGAGGGAGGGGGTTATTTTAGGGGGGGATATTGTTAAAAACTTGTATAAAACTTTTCAATAATAATAATAATATGTTTATTTAAGGCAAATTGGAATATGGTAATTGTAAATTAGTAAAGTTTAAAAACAGGACTTGGATTTTTATAACTGAAATATGATTGATGACTGATTTGATTGATTGAACTCTATTTAGAAATGTATTAATTTGAATATAAAATATTATATGAGGGAAATAGAGAGGGAACTTTTAATGAACTAACCTGAGTTATATATGTATGGTTTTGCTTTTGGATAATTGATACACCCATCACCACGTTGTTTCTTAAGCACTGTGATGTAAACATTGTTGTTGTTGTTGTTAATTGCGAAGTCGTGTCCGACCCATCATGACCCCATGGACAACGTTTCTCCAGGTCTTCCTGTCCTCTACCATCTTCTGGAGTCCATTTAAATTCACACCTACTGCTTCAGTGACTCCATCCAGCCATCTCATTCTCTGTCGTCCCCTTCTTCTATTGCCCTCAATCTTTCCCAGCATTAGGCTCTTCTCCAGTGAGTCCTTCCTTCTCATTAGGTGGCCAAAGTATTTGAGTTTCAACTTCAGGATCTGGCCTTCTAAAGAGCAGTCGGGGTTGATCTCTTCTAGGACTGACTGGTTTGAACGCCTTGCAGTCCAAGGGACTCGCAGGAGTCTTCTCCAGCACCATAGTTCAAAGGCCTCAATTCTTTGCGCTCAGCCTTTCTTATGGTCCAACTTTCACAGCCATACATTGCAACTGGGAAAACCATGGCCTGGACTATACGCACTTTTGTTGGCAGGGTGATGTCTCTGCTTTTTAGAATGCTGTCTAGATTTGCCATAGCTTTCCTCCCCAGGAGCAAGCGTCTTTTAATTTCTTGGCTGCAGTCCCCATCTGAGGTGATCTTGGAGCCCAGAAAAATAAAATCTGTCACTACCTCCATTTCTTCCCCATCTATTTGCCAGGAATTGAGAGGGCCGGATGCCATGATTTTGGTTTTCTTAATGTTGAGTTTCAAGCCAACTTTTGCACTCTCCTTCTTCACCCGCATCAAGAGGCTCTTTAGTTCCTCTTCACTTTCTGCCATTAGAGTGGTATCATCTGCATATCTTAGGTTGTTGATATTTCTCCCGGCAATCTTAATTCCAACTTTTGATTCATCTAGCCCTGCCTTTCTCATGATGTGCTCTGCATATAAGTTAAATAGGCAGGGCGACAGTATACAGCCTTGCCGGACTCCTTTTCCAATTTTGAACCAATCAGTGGTTCCGTGTTCGGTTCTCACTGTTGCTTCTTGACCCGCATATAGGTTTCTCAAGAGACAAATGAGATGGTCTGGTACTCCCATCTCTTTAAGAACTTGCCACAATTTGTTGTGATCCACACAATCAAAGGCTTTTGCATAGTCAATGAAGCAGAAGTAGATGTTTTTCTGGAACTCCCTAGCTTTCTCCATGATCCAGCGTATGTTGGCAATTTGATCTCTAGTTCCTCTGCCTCTTCGAAATCCTGCCTGTACTT